ACCCCACCGCGGCTACTCAGCGGGGCTGGCATCAAGGGAGACACCAGAGATGCAGTTATGATTGGCTTAAAGGGATGGACTCATGTTTGGCTGCAGGAAGAAACCTTTTTATTTTTAAATCTTGACCAACAGAAACCTTTTATTTTTATTTCTGACTCTTATTTTTTTAAAAATTTGCGCCTCGGTTTATGGCTTCTCAGGAAGCTCTCCGAGCTCTGGTGCTTTATTTAGGTCACTTTTTAGAAATGTGAAGAGTCCCTATTGGCTGCTCAAACTGGAAAAGGATTTTGATTGGCTGGCTAATGGGAAATGGTTTGTTTTTTTTTTCTTTGATTGGCTGCAGGTGTTCTGCTTGATAGCAACAGCTTCTCTCATCTGAATGCTGAAAACAGGGTTTGGGACATTGGTTGTTATATTTGACTTGAAAAAAAGGAAAGAATCCAAGTGCGCTTTGCAATATTTATTACACAAAGAGCTCGCTGCTGCTTTCACGTGCTTTGTTTGTGTTTGCATTTGATTGGCTTTCGAGGTGTGTGTTTGGTTTCCCATTGGCTCACCCATGACTCCCGTTGCCATGGCCTCCCCCAAAATCTGCTGCACGCAGACCCTCTGCAGCCCGGAGTCCACCTGGAAAGTGCATTTGCTTTAATGACCACCCCTGGCTTCACCAGCAAGGGGACCTGGAGGACCCCCAGCAGGGTCCGCAGCTGGAAAACGGGGCTCCCAGGGAGGTTTGTGTTGTCCTGAAGGAGCAGCCTAGAGCTTAAAGGGTGACTGCCAGCCAAGATTTATGTGCGTCACCTCCAGGAATGGGCAGCCAGCCAGCTTCCCTTGGCAAGAATGGACTTGCTCAACCTCCGTCAGCCCCGCCCCCCACCCCCCCACCTCCGCGGGTGCTGACAGAGGCGCCAGCACTGGGCGGCTCTGTCCTTTCACCGTTCCTCTGTATCCAGCTTCCTGAGGCCTCACCTGGGGGTCCCTCCTGTCAAGGGCAGGAGCTGCTTTGGGCAGTGAGACTCTACAGTGTAGCCCAGATCTCTGCCAGGGAGTCGGGAACCGGCTCAAAGGCCCAAACTTGGCTCACAAAGCCAAACACCCACCCCCCTGAACTCCCCCAGCTGGGCTCCTGAGGGGTCTGCTGCTGGCCAGTAGGTCCTGGCCAGCACTTGGAGTTCTCGCATATGAGGCCCGTCCCCCTCAATGCACTGCCTGCGGACGGGTCTCTCTCTGTCGGCCTAGAACGGACAGCAGTATTGTTTATGACGTGTTTCACTGAGCAAGGCCCACCAGGCTGGCCCTCGCCGGGGCCCCAGAAACACAATACAGAGCAGCAGTCTTTGAATGGCTGAGCACCCCAAGTCTTCCCACCTGCCCTCCCCACTTCCCTTGGAGGCAGCCTGCCCTTCTCCCTACGTGTCCCACAAGAGTGGAATCTGGGTGGGGAGGTAGAGAAAGAAGCAGGCCTCAGGTTGGGGAAGCCTCCACCCTCCCCCCGAGGTAGGCGGCTGAGGCCCCCTTCTTGCCCTGGGAACCTAGAGCCAGAAGAAAGCTCTCAGAGCCGAATTTCCCCTTCTCCGGGCTCGGGGCCGTCGTGGACCACAGGAGTTGAACGCCAGCGTGTCCTAGGCCTGAGCCCTGGAGAGCCCCGCGGTCAGTGGGCGGTTCACACTGCCGAGTCTCGCCCCAGGAGGACTCGTGTGTCACGGCCTAGACACTGTGCCCTCCTCCACACATGGGCCCCTGGCCCTGGTAGCTGACCATTAACTGCAAAGGCCATTGACCTGAGGACTGTGGGGACCCCAGCAGGGGCCGAGAGCATCTTCCTCCAGGGGGCAGTGTGTGTGTGCATGTGCATGTGTGAGCACACACACAAACACACTCACATGCACACTCACTCTCAGCTCAGTGGCTGCAGCTCCAGCCGAGCCCCTGGGGAAAGGTGAGTTATTTCAGTCTCCCTCTCCCGCAGGTTGTGACATCTGTTTAGATGCCAGCCTTGCTGGCTGCCCCCTCTCTGTGTACCTGTAGCTCCCATAAAGGGTCCGTGTCCAAGCACACAGTGTGTTTTCTGCCCCAGCCTGTCTTTGTCAAGGTCATGGGCCTTCCTCTTGTAACAGTGATGGCCCTGATCTGTCTCATCTTCTGAAGAAGAAAAGTGAAAGTGTTGCTGTGGCTTCTTATTTCAACTAAAAATATATCTGTTGGAGAAAAAAACTTAACAATAAAGATTTTTAATAGCTTGGTGCGTGAACTGTTACCTCTGTTGACGTTAGGTGCATTCACTGATTTCCTCGTCACTTGGGCTGTGCTGCAGGGTCCCTCCCTCCCCAGGGAGGCGCCACGGAGGGATGAGAAGACCAGTTTGCTCGTTCAATTGTCCATGATCTGGAGTGGAGCTCAGTCAGGGTCTGAAAGAATTTCCAGACCCGCCCGGCTCAGCTGACAGGTCTGTAGGAAGGCCCAGCCCCCTTTCTGACCTGGAGATTCCAGATGTCATCCTAGGTAGAACTGACGTCAGTAACTTTCAGAGGCGACATCCCCCCCTATGCTCTTGAGCAGACACTGAGCACCCTGTAAGGGTGTGGGGACCCTTTCATCCTAGACACCCCAACATCCTATGCAATGGCAGTGGTTCTGAGAATGCTTATAACAAAAGCTCATACAGAACACCCATCTCTCCCATCATCCTGGAACTGGAAGGCTTACTGGTGTGCGGGTATAATTCAGGTTTGGAAGCTGAGCTCATTCATGCTTTAGGAATTTTTGCTTTGGAAGCATTTTCTAGAATTTTTCATTTTCACCCTTCATCATCCCATTTAGGTTTTGTTTGTTTGTTTGTTTTCCTATTTACAGGGACTCACCACTTATGTTTCCTTTACAAAGAGTTTCATTGGGTGCTAAATGCTATGAGGTTTATACAGTATAGCGAAGGCAGGCACAGTGGACATCATTCAGTGTTAGTGTTGGGAGAGATATTAGAGGTTGTCCAGTAGCCCATGCAGTGGCCAGATGTGTGAGCCTCTCTGAAACATCTCTGAAAAGGTCTTGTCCCACCTTTGCTTGAATAGTCTTGAGGACTGGAGAACTCACTACCTCACAAGATAGCGCGTTCCATCTTCGAGTTACTTACGTTCATTCTTATATTGAGTTGGTCTGTCTTTCTCTTTAACTTCCTTTTCCAGGAAGGAGTTTACAATTATTGAAAGATAAAGCAAGACAGCTATGTTAACCAAAAATGAAAAAGACACATATGAAGGGCTCGCGTTATCTGTAGGATTCCCCTACCCACACCCAGTGTTCTGAGTGGCACCGTAGTTAGTTAGCCTTAGAGGTAATCAGCTCTTCTAAGCCGGGCCCTGAGCAGAGGGAGGGGCGGGCTGGCCTTGGTCCCACCTGCCCAGCCCCCAGCAGAGAGGGAAGTGGAGCTGGGAGGGAGGAGTCTCCAGAGCAGTCTAACTCCCCAGGTCTCTAATGGGAACTAGGCCACACAGGAAAGATGAGTGGGGCCACTTCAGCAGCCAAAGGGAAAACATTGGGGACAGTGCTGGGTCTTTCAGGGTCCCTCAGCCCACACAGCAAGCAACCTGCTGGGTCCACCTCCCTAAGTGCTGGTGCCTGCAGCCAGGAATGACCCCAACAGACAGGATACGGACTGCTGAGGCCAGAGACAGCAGGGGCGGGGGTGGCGGGAGTGTGTGGCAGGCTGGGCCTGGGGGAGGCCTGGCCCAGCTGAGGAGCAAGGCGGGCCCCCTGCCATTTGTTGGTGCTTCCCAGCCCTGGGAGGAGGGTGGGGAGAATGAACGGAGGGCTTCATCCCCCTGACCCTGCAGGTGTAAAGCAGCGGTGAGAAGCCAGGCTGCTCCAGCCTGGGAACAGGAAGGACCCTTTGTAGCAGTGAAAACCGATCTCTCCGTGGCACCTGGTTCAGTGGTGCGGATGGGAGCCAGCTTCGGAGCAGGAGCTCTGTGGGCCCTAGGGGACCTGCCACCACCCGCCTGCCCTGCCTTCCTGGGCAGGTCCCATCCCCCACTCCCTTGCTGGGGGCCACCTGCTCCTCTCCCTCTCCTGGAGAATGAAGGAGACCCAGACTAACCTGAGGCCATGTTTAGAAAACACTTCTCTGTCCAGTGAAGGAACTTTCTCTCCTGGGGCAACGGCTGGGTGTTAAGGAGATCCGGGGGCCTTGGTGGACCAAGCTGCTAGTCCTAATTTAAACAAGAAAGTCCTCGAGATGCAAAGGTAGTGAAATGCTTTCTGCGTATGAGCCAGTGCCTTGCCTTCACTTTTTTCCTCGACACTGGTGCCACCCCTCACGGGTGGGCTCCCATGGGTGCCTTGCCAGGCCTGCGGGGCAGGGAGGGAGGTCAGGAGAGCTGCTGATGAAAGCCGCACCCCACTCTGCCTGGGCCTCCTCCCCAAGGAAGGAGCAGAGTGTGCGACAGGTGGCCACCTTGTTTGCACACCTGTGGGAGCCCCACCCCACCGGCACAGCCTCTGCAGGGGACTTCAGACCCTGAGCCTCTGAGACATTCTGCCTCCTGGCCTGTGGCCTTGGCTGTGGAAGGGGGTGGGTTTTCACAAACATCTTTTCTGCAGGTGTCTCCGTGTCTGTCTTAACGCAGCAAATGCGTACTGGGTGCTACCTGCGTGCAGGTGCGTAGCAGTTTATCTGCACCATCTTTAGTCGTGTGTGAGGTAAGTATGTGATTTCACAGATGAGAAAGTAGGGAGTATGTAGTTCGCTGAAGGTCAGCGAAGTACGGCCAGGACTTGGACCCAGGGTGTCCGACCCCAGACTCTGTGTTTGAAGCTTTGACAGGATGGGGCGGGGTGGGGTAGGGAGTAAATCCTGCATCATCGGGTTGCCCAGTCCCCGCTCCGCGGCCAGCTCTGTGACCCCAGAACCAGTCTGGAATTTGCCCCTGTTCTCTAAGCCCCATCACATCTGGTTGTTAATGAACCTTCGTCAGGTGG